ATGCTACAACCTAGAATAGGTCACCAGCCATCATTTCCTCCATTAATATTTTCTACCTCTACTTCTCTTCTCAAAACTACAATCGAACATGTGTTTCTGCTCAGGAAAACTGTAATTAATATCCAAGTTTTCAAACCGTAATCTAGCCAACGCAATCACAACTTTAGCTCTCTCTCTCTCTCTCTCTTTCTCTCTCTCTCTCTGTCTCTCTCTCTCTCTCTCTCTCCCTCTCTCTCCTCTAAACCACCATTACTACCTGATCAATGATAAAAAAAAATGTGCAGTGGTGCACCTGTGTCTCTTCTCAAGGAAATGGTAATGAAAATCCAACTTTTGAAATGCTAATCTAGCTAACACCATCGCACCAGTTATCATTCGCCTTTCTCTCTCTCTCTCTCTCTCTCTCTCTCTATATATATATATATATATATATATATATATATATATATATATATATATATATATATATATATATATATATATATATATATATCAATGGTGATGATGATGATGACGACAAAGGAGGAGGAGAAGAATGGTCCAACGATGGTCGTTGTTATCTTCTTGTAAATTATTCTCCTTTCTCCGAACTTGTATCCTATTGTTGACATATAAAACCAAAACCTCATTCTATCATCTACTGAAAGCTTTCAATTCTGATAGGGTTTTTGGTAAAATGCTTTCTTCTTTTCAGTTTTGGGTTTTAATCAACCAAAAATTATCTAAAACTAAGATAATTGTCGTGGTTGTTATTTGTAAATGCAGTTTTGGGTATACCTGTTCTAAATTGCTTCCTGGTGTTGTTACTGCCTCCAAAGACAGATCATTTCCACGAAGGGGATGGGTTTTGGTGCTTACATTTCTTCTTGATTCAACCTGTCCAATACAACATAGTGATCCAACAAGTCTTGATGAATTGAACGAGTATTCCAACTTAACTAATCTCTCCAAGCACACATATTGCTCTATTCAGATTAATATAGGCAAATTTCTGATAGTTCTTTTACTATTTTGTTGTCTGTAAGGAGTGTTTTGGAGAGAGATCCAGATCTTATTCAACAAACGGTCATCAATGATCGTCATTCTGCTCTTCACATAGTTGCCGCCAATGACCGGAGAAAGGTAGGTAATTCAAGAATTTCTTCATATTCTTACTTCGTTTTTTGTTTTCCCTTTATGGATTTGTTCAATTTTTTATACAATGTGTGGATTTTTGTTCAAATTGTTTCTATGCTTTTTGACAATCATTTTTTCAATCCTAATTTTTTTTGAATCGTTCTATGCAGGTGTGTTTAAGTGTTCTCTGTTTGAATTATACTTCAATTTTTGTTTTTTGTCAATTTCATGAATCGGATATGATATATATATATATATATATATATATATATATATATATATATATATATATATATATATATATATATATATATATATAATAAATGTTTCATGTATGTTGTTTTGCAATTCACATCTCATTTGTTTTAATTTTGAACAATTGTATGAATAGTATTTAAAAAAGCAATGCTCCAAGATAAACCATACAACTTGGAAAAGCAAGACAAACAAAATTTTAAATCTCTTTTAACTTGGAGACTATGCAGTTATCGTGGTCCAAAATCTTATCGCGGTCACTTGCCGCGATTTAAAATAGCGGTTCTCGCGGTGGGATAGCGGTTTATATATATATATATATATATATATATATATATATATATATATATATATATATATATATATATATAATCACAAAGAGCCATATAAAATGTAAAAACACATAACATAGTTATACAAGGTCCACATCCACATAACATATTAAAAGAGTTTAAATCAAATTTCCAAATAAAAGATCAATCGCAATCCACTGGTTCGGCTTCCGAGTCAACATCGTCTAATGCATTCACTTCGACATCAAGGTCCACATACACATCATCTTCCACTTCAACTCTAGTCTGGTCATTATCATCATCATCATCATCTCTATAACCCTCCCTTTTGCTCCTCGTACTAGGCCCGATGTCTACATTTCCACCCATCGCTTCTCGCACATCCGACCAAAGAAGACCATCACGTGCATCCATAAAGTCTTGAAGTTCAGCCTCTGTCGGTATCGTCCACTTATCATTTTCCTCTACATCTCTCAACAAAATAGGATCAGTTTTGTTGCTTTTTAGAGATTCAAATCTCTTTTGTAACCTTGTGTTATATTCGATAAACACAAGGTCATTGAGTTTTTGCTGGAAAAGACAATTCCTTTTCTTGGAGTGTAACTAAAAGAAACGAAATATGAAAAGTTAGTTAGAGTTTCAAACTTTCAATTAAACTAATGTAATCTATAATTTATAAAAAAAATTGTTAAAAAGACTTGCATTGTCAAATGTACTCCAATTGCGTTCACAAGGTGAAGCACTACACGTTTGACTAAGGACCTTGATAGCAAAATTTTGAAGCAAAGGAGTATCGATCCCATAAGAACGCCACCAAATATCTATATTTTATAAATAAACATAAGTTAATAAAAAATAGGAAATAATAAGATTTGATTGCATTATACTTTTTAACTTACATGGTGCAACTTTCATTCTACTTCTTTTAGCAGCTGCAGATCCAAATTGGCCTTCTGAATCAATGTAGATATTCGATTGTTGTCTTAAAAGATCATTCTCATCTTTATCGGGAATAAGACGGTCGATGGCAACATATAGTCCCGTCACTATATCTTTATTTTTCTCAATCTCTGAATTTTCTCCATGAAAAATGGCAGGATTAAGAAAGCATCCAGCTGCACATTCATTAAAATATTAAAACCAAACAAGAAAATTAATTTTTAATTTCCATTAATAAGTGAAGTTTTATACCTGCATGTAATGGATGATGAAGTTGGTCAGACCATCTTTGTTGAATTATAGACAAAACTGTACTCTCCATCCTTGCATTAGGCCCACCTTTTAAATTTTTGCTTATTTGCTCGACTCATTGCATCATAGATATAACCCATGCATGGTTGATCTTCCCTATCAACCAAAAGAATCATATCTACCAAAGGTGCAAATACTTGACAAGATAAATACACATCGTCCCAAAATTCTTGCTTTGCAACTATCCTCTCCACCTTCTTTCCCACAACTTTCTTTACAAATGCACTTTTTGTCCATTGTTTAGAAACAAACAACACTTGAAGGTGATGGCGATTCTCATGTACACTCTGTAAAGTGTAGTACTGAGTGGCAAACCTAGTTATACATGACCTGTGCAACTCTTTATTCTTGGTCAACTTTCGCATCATGTTCAAAATTCTTCCATGATTATAAATGTAAACCACAATCGCTCTTGCATCAGTCAAAGCACCCTTTATCTTTTTTATTTTTTCCTCGAGATCTTTTATCATAAGGTTCACACAGTGTGCTGCACATGGAGTCCAAAACAACTTTGGATGTTTTTCTTCTAAAATTTTTCCCGCAGCTTTATAGTTTGAGCTGTTATCCGTAAGAAACTACAACAATGTTTTCCTCGCCAACATCTTCAATCACGTGATTAATCATCTTCACAATTAATTGAGCATCCTTCACATGCTCTGATGCATAAATTGACTTAAGAAATACCGTGCCAGTTGGACAATTCACTAAAAAATTTATCAATGCCCTTCCTTTTCCATCTGTCCAAAAATCGGACATAATGCTACATCCGTATTTCTGCCACTGTGACCGAAACGAGTCCACAAACTTATTAGTATCTTGTAACACCTCCTTTATTAATGTCACCCGAACATTATGGTAACTTGGAGCGGACATACCTAAGACTGATAGATATAATTAATTAGTTAGTAAATATTAAAATAGTAATCAATAAATATATGATTAAAGGGATTACTTAATTACCTTTTCCATAATCTCCAATGGCATCAATTACATCTTGGAAACTTTCATCACATACGACATTAAATGGTAAGCTAACCGCGTAAGCCCAAATCGCAAACTTTTTCCAAGCAATATTCTTCAGCTTCTCTTTGATTGGATTGTTTTTATCCAACGTGCTTTGATATACTTTTCCACGATCGCTCTTATAAACACAATCATTTGGACCACGAACATTACTAGAACTTACAAACTTTCTTTTCTTACTATCATCCCTGACTCGTATCTCGTCTTCTTCATCCTCATTATCAGATAATCCTATTGTGCTTGATGATCTAAGAATTTCTATATTTCTTTGTTTTTCTTTTTTTTTGCTTTTCTTTTTCTTGTATCGATTCAAACATTTTTTTCATTATATCTGGTGTCACGTTAGGGCATTTGGAGACTTCCCCTGGTATATGAGCAAGGTGTTGCTTCAACCTTGTGATTCCTCCACATACTTTTTTGTCACAAAGAGTGCACCAAATATTCGATTTTTTTGTGGGATCCTTCCAGACTCCCCACTCCCAAGCCATATCTCCATTTAAACATCTAGTACCAGCATCTGATGATGTAGTAGTAGTTGTTGGGTTTGTTGAAGAATGTGAAGATTGGCCTTCCATGTTTACTGGTAAAAACGATAACCTGTTGCACAAAACAGTTGCAAATTAAATGCATTAGCTAAGGTCTGATTACAGTTACAACTTAAATGCATTAATTGAGGTTTCATTACAAATTAATTGAGTTGTTAACTTGTTATATAATTTGTCGGTTCCAAGTTCCAACTTCCTAAAAAAACAAACACGTACCAATGAGAATTAAATTGATGGACAAAAAGCAACTAGCAACTAGCATTTAATAGGTAATGAGTATCCGATAAACATACAGTATCAATCAATATATATAAACCAACAAAATTAGGATTTAATGAGGATGGGGAAGGAAGAGTCGGAGTTTCTTAAAGGAATAAGATGCTTACTTCCTTGAGTCGTTGGTGGCTTTGATTAATCTTCTCGTCGCTTATTTTGATGGCAGATTTACGATCGATCGCATTAGCAAGAAGCCAAGAACAACACCATCGTAGCAGGCATGGAGAAATATGTTTGTCGTTGACCTGTTCCAATTTCTTCTAATATCTAATTAGGTCACGACTAAAGAAAAGGAGTTTGGGCTTATAGTATTCAACGATGTGGGCTGATCCATATAAAATAACTTGTGTTTTTAATAAATATGTAAAAAAAGCCCAAATAATCAAATATCGGAAAAAAAGTGGGATACCGGTTTTGAAAAATCGGTCAAATCGCGGCTGATACCGGCGATATTCCCGGCTTCAATATTTTTGAACGATATTTGAAACCGCAATTTTCCAAAACCCGCGAAACGAGATCCCACCGAGATCCCACTGGGATCTCGGTGCTATTAACTGCCCAGCTTGGAGAAGAACAGGATTTACCCCAAGTCTATTATTGCAATCATCAAATATTGTTTCTCTACAAGGTCATTATCACAAATTTTAAGTCTCTTTCAATAGAAAAATTCCCAAAATGAAACATACATTTTGGAAATTATATGTATATGAATAGTCTTTTTTATTCGGTCAATGTATATTTATCTAAATGGTTTTTTGTATTTAAGTTGTTGTTATTGTTGTTGTTGTTTCCTGATTTGTAGCTTTTTTTCTGATGGTCAATACTTTATTATTATTATTATCATTATTTAACCTTTTCTTATTTGGATTTCCTGTGATTTTTTTTTGTGTTTTTCTAATTGGATTTGTAGGTTAGAAGAGCTTTATGTACCCGTTGAAAGGTTTGGAGTTGTCAGGCCGTTAGAGATGTCTATCTCCTAAAGAACCATTACACTAAGTAGGTTTGTGCATACAACCTCTAACTTTAAGTTAAATGTTGTTAATTAAAAATCTTATTATTAACTAAAAGTATTTTGAATTATATTCATTGATATGAATTCAAGGTAGGCATGTCACATACTCGCTTGTTGTTAACCCTATACATGAACAAACAGAAGTTGTTGAAGGTGTGAAAGCGAAAGTTAAAGAAGAAAAGAAATATGAAAGAACTAAGCAAAAAAAGGAAAAGGATAAAAAAAAAGTTGTCTTGGCTGATGAGGTTTATATTAAGAAAGAGAATAGAGATGAGGATAAATATGAAAAGAAGTAGAAAGCGATGCAAAAAAGGTGATGATGAAAGGGGTTGATTGAATGCAATATCAACTTTGGTTGAATGTAAGGAATGGTGAAAAGGTGGAGTCATTTCTTATCAAGGAATAACAACTTACTATCATATTGGGGTCATATAAAAGGAACAATATATTAATTCTACATAAATGGGCCCAAAATGTTTCTTTTTTGCTATCCCAGTAAGCCTTATACCGGTTTTGGTCGATGAGTTGTTAAATTTAACTTGTCAATTGTTATTTTCATTTTAAAATGACTATTTTACCCTCAGACTAAAACTGAGAAAAACATTTGCCATAGATCAATTTATAAATTTTGCTTATTTGTTTTAGTTAATAGTTTGTAACTTCTTAGTGTAAATTATAGAGGTGGCCCTAAATCATTTTCATGTTTACAATGTTTATTTAAAAATTAAAACCATTTTAACATCATTTACTGTTACCCTTCCTATTGCATTTAGGTAATGGAGCTCAAAGATTGCAACATAAAGTTTTGTATTGAAAAAATCGTCATTGATTTTTTTATATCATTAAATCCATCCTAGATTTTTTTACATCAATGCTAAAATAAGTTGTTTCCTGGTTGCAACAGGCTATAATCATGACATAGATAAATTTTTTTCTAGATTTTAAATGAGATGGATATTTTAACCAAATAGTCAAAGTTAAAGTTAATCTACTTGTATTTTCTTTCACATTGATTTTCTTTTTCTAGAAGTTCATGGTTGGTCTTATTAGGTGTAGAACCAAGCATAAAAACCATGTTTTTAAGTACAGTAGATATTAGGTTCTTGAGGGAAAAAATTACCCAATTCCATGTGGAATGGATTTGGTGCTAAACAAGTGCATTTGGTTGAAAAACACATAAATGCCATTGTGTAACTATTGCTAAGTATTTTAGTTTTTTTATTGTGCAGATTATGGTCTATAAGAGGGACTAACAAGATTAAGAAGATAGGAGTAATAGATTTGGCTTATAATTTTGAGTTAATACCATCAAACCAACCTAACTTATTTAGTAGAGTGGACTGTAGTGTTGGACATTATCATCCTTTTTGATACATATACAAAGTCTCTTTTTTTTTGTATTCTATTAAGAAATGCTCAAAAGGTCTACTTTCGATTTGCTTTTCAATGTTTATATCCTGATAATTAAACATGTATTCAATATCAAGGATCATATCATGTTAATTACACAAAATTACACAAATTCCAATCTTTTGATTAGTGTTGAAAGTCATCCAAAGTTCATTTACTTATTGAATGATTAAAAGTCTTACATATCGTGTGGAATAATGTATATATTAAAGTTTGTATTGGTAAGTTTTAGTCTCTTAAATTTGTATTGACTAAAAAGAAAATCAATGACATCAGATAACTGTAAATAAACTTTTTCATACAATATCAGTATAAATTGATATTATTGCACTTAATAATATTCACTACACCGTACATTTAGCGTCGCCATGTTCCAAACATACATATTTGTAAATTATATAATCTTAATTAAAGGTAACGACTCTGTTAATTTGTATATATGAAAACAAAATCGTATATAACCAATAAGAAAAATTAGAAACTGTTAAAATATTTTAAAAATGATTTGTTTAATTCAAATATGGCTTGGTATTTGAGTTATTATGCCCACATATACTACAAACTGATATATGTTTTGTAGAAAAGAAATTATCTATTGCCTTCTGAAAGTAAACTAATTGCGGAAAAGCAACAATTTCCAAAAACGCTTACCAAAAGAAACTAACTATCGATGAAAGCTAATCATCAAAAAACCATTTGTCGCCGCTGCATCATGCGGGTAGACTACTAGTGTTTGTGTGTGTGTATATACACTAACAATTGGATAAATTAATAAAAATAAAGAGAATACATGTTTTAGGTTGTTGTCACACGTATCAAAGATTTCATCACAAGCTTGCCATGATACAAAAACATTGATCAAATGTTTATGAACATAAGAGTGGATTGCGTAAATGCACTAACAACTTATGTCGTGTTACTCATGGAAAACTTAACAACATCCAACATTTTTTTTAAACACATGAAAATATTTTTGCTTTTTAAATTTTTGGAATTCAATTTTCTTCCAAAGAAAAGGGTTGTTTGTTTATGTCAAGTCCTAAATTATCATATATATTCTCTTCTCCCCTTCTTGGAACTTTACCTTCAAGAATCATTGATTTTTTTTTCTTTTTCTCGTGATTTCAATAAATATCATTTTCATAAAAGAATCATGATCAAGCTTAGGTTTATAACTTAGGTGTTGTTTGTTTTTTCAGAAGCAAAAGACATGCAATTTATTAATCATATCGGTAGACATCTGCAGTAGAAGAGGTTGACTAAACGTCTGCAGCTTACAACAAATTACTAGTATTTGTATTTTTAAAGTTTGAAGGCATCTAAAATAAACTAATTTTTAAATATAAAAAAGTTTTTCAATATTGATATTTAAATAGTTCTACTTTTATAACGCTTTCAATCAAATTCAAATTTCTTTCAAATTTTAATTCATTTAAGAGATTTTTCAATATTGGAATTAGGTCCAGACCTTTGTCGAAAACCATCTTTTGAACTTAGCATTTTCATGACTTTATAAATAGTTAACAAATCTAGATTAAATTTTATGTATTATTGTATGAAACTTTAATTTTTTTATAACCACTTTTTTTTATGTGATATTATATTATGATTAATGTTTTTGCCTAAAGTATTTTGTATTGTAATGACAACTAGGGTTTGGACATTCTGCACGATGCTGAGGAAGCCCGATGTGTTGAAAAACACAGGTCCACATGGATAAAGGTTTTGGGAGAAATTTTGAGACAACTTTCAATCATAGCCCAAAATTGCAAACTACAATGTTATTTCCTATCACAATGATGCTAATTTATGCAGTTTAATAGTGACAACCTTGAGCTAAATCAAACAATAAAGCAAATGTAATTACATTCAAACATTTATTAATCTTTTACATCTTAAAAAAAAAAATAAGAACATAAGCAAGGTGCTAAAAATTAGAGGTCCAAAGATAACATTTTGCAAGTTGTACCACAAAATTATAAAAATAAAGTTTTTATCTTAACAATTATGTATTGAAGAGGTGGATAAAAAATAAATTTTGAAATATATCATATTTTGTACAATCCTACAAGACAATTAATAAAATTTAATATAATTAATAAAAAATAGGGAAGAATCCCGCTTTGCGGGATTAGATACGTTAAACTAATCCAATGCCACATTTCACCCATTTTAAGTTTCAACTTTCAAAATATTGATTAAAAATTTAACAGGTAGCATACAAAGTAAATCATCACTGTGAAGATAACAGAAATCGTATGAGTTCAACTGCAAACTTTCCCTTCTTGGTTTTGTTCACTTCTACTATCTGTGCAAATGCAAAAGACGTAGATGTTATTTGACAAAACCAAAAAAAAATGTGTGTTGTTGCAATCACGACATAAGGAAAAAATAGCAAAAAAGAAAACATTGTAGTAGGATTAGATAAATGAGTCTTTTTTAGGTTTATATTATGATCCAGGTAAAAGAATCATTGTTGTAGTTTAGCATCAAGATAGATATGTCCATGATGTCAAAGGCAGAAATTTAAAAGAGCTATCAAAAAATGTTATTTCATAAATCAAAATCTTGAAAAAAAATATAATAAAAAATTTATTTAATGGAAAAATCGCATGTAGACACTTTGATTTTACTGTAGATGACACTCGCTTTGAAGCACGTCTCCATGGATCTTGTCACACATTTGTAAAACTATTTTTGATTCTACATTTTACATATTTGAAAAAAATTCATAAAAAGCAAATTAATCCTAAAATTTGGATGTAAATACTAATGTTTGATAACAGCAATGTTATTGATGTCATAGTAAACCCTTTGTTACTATAATAATGTCATTTTCTTATAGCTAGCTAGTACAATCGAGTTTTATCATTACATTGATTTAGATGTAAAAATGGGACAAAAAAGTTGTTTGCTGATATCTGGTTTTGTTTCAAAAATTAAGATCGTAGAAGAGTCACAGTTCAAAGTAGAAATGAGGTTGTGTATCGGACTGGTAGGTCCAAAAAATGAGAAAAAAAAAGTAAATTTATTAGATGGTCCTCTACATATCATATTCACATAAGGTGAACATAAAATTGATCAAAATAAAAAAAAAAAATACAATGGCCATTAAAATCATAAAATAGGCAAACAAAAGCATTATAACTCAATAAAATTGACAATACTTGTTTTAATAAGCCAACGATCAACAAAGAAATTATACCTGGTGAACTGAGGATTTGCCTTCTTGCCTTCTATAACAGGCCAATGTTTTTCCCAGTAAGGAATGCTTCTAAATTACTGAACAACAGTGGCAGACCGTGGACTGTCTCAACAAAGCCAACTACATAACCAAATAATGGTTTTATAGTAGTAAGGAATAAGATCATAGTCTAATTGCAATGCCAAAATGATAAAGTAGAAATAGAAGAGGAAAAAAGTAGAAAAGGAAAATCATGTTTGGAATTGGATATCTTACCTGCGCCCTTTGTCAATTGAATCCAGTAGCCATTACATTGTTCTTCATTCATTATACAGGAAAATCATGAAGTGTGTTAGAAAAAATCAATGAAAAGCAATCAATCAAAAGGTTTAAAATCCCTAAACTTAAGCTAGCAAAATCAAAAACATATTAGTAAGCAAAAAAAAAAAAAAGATGTACGTCAACATCACCATACAGAGTTTGTTAGTCTTACCTTGTTCATCATCTTTGGTCTTTTGAAACTCCTACGAACGGCGGTGGTAGATGGCACCAAATTTGTTCAATATCCGTTGCACCTCTTTCATTGATTGCTATAGAAATCACTGTCACTGCCCTCGATTCTGATAACAGAAACCCTAGTTTACTGTGATGGCTTTCCTTTTGGATGTTGTCACATAGAGGGAGAAGGTGCATAATGGACTCGGACACTCGGTGGTCTAATTGAAAGAAAGTTTGGAATTTAATGAAAAAAGAAATAGCATTGACAACAGAAGAAACTGATGACCTTTAAAATTGTAAGCAAAAGTGTATTCAGAGAAAGAATCAGGGTGTGGAATGTGGGCTTGATTTACCCGGCTTGAAGAATATAGAAAAATCAAAATCGATGGCTTCTAGTGCATAATTTTAACTCACCACTTGCAGATGTGTGGAGATGATGCGTGATAGGGGTTATCATGTTGTCGACTTCACCGGAGAAAGCCGAAGAATACAAAAGAGTGACTTTAATGTTGACAGAACTGGAAGTCGCAAACCCTGAGGAACAACAATCTGAATCAATTGGGGCGACGATGAAGAAAGAGCGAAGCACCGATGACGCAGATGAGATGGATCTGATCGTGTCGTCAGAGCGTTGCTTCGATCAACCACTCCTTTGAACATCTAACACACATAGAAGTGATTTCATCATTCAACTTTTCTTCCAAACCTTACATATACGTGAGACATGGGTCACTGAAATTGGAAAAGTTCTTGGAAAGAAATTATAGGGACGGACGATTGAAGTGCTGATGTCAAGAAAGGTAAGAAAAGCAGTGGAAGCATCGAGAAAAAAAAAAGATGAATATTGGGAAGAAAACCACCGAACGTAGTCGATGGAAAAAGATGAAATGGCAAAACAACAGAAGCAGAAAAAGGAACACGTAGATGGCAGGAGCACACCTCATGACACATGTAATACTATAGAAAAAAAAAATAACTACATAAATGTATAAACCACAAAAAAAATATTCAAAAAATAAGAAAAAAATAGGAGCCAGTTATATGCAAGTATTGTTGTCTAAGGGTTCAAAATTAATATATATATATATATATATATATATATATATATATATATATATATATATATACTAGGTGTGAAACCCGTGTATTACACGCGTCGATTTAAAAAAAAATTAAACATTAAAGTGTAAATATAAAATATTTTTTAATGTACAATTTTAAAATAAAGGAGATACATATTTATTGCAATTTAATTTCATATATATCATATTTAATACTTTACATATATAAGTATATGATTTTAATTTTAAAAATTGAAACAAACCAAAAATTGACAAGTGGATAATATTTATTTAAAAAATACCCCAAAATGACAAGTGTCAAAATTAATTAGAGATTGACATGTGTCAAAAGGTCTTCTAGGTGTGAGCTTCGTGTATTACACAGGTTGATTTACAAAAATATCAAACATTAAAGTTTAAATAAAAAATATTTTTTAATGTAAAATTTTAAAATAAGAAAGAAAAAAACATATTTATTGCAATTATATATATATATATATATATATATATATATATATATGATATTTAATACTTTATATATATAGGTATATGATTTTAATTTTAAAAATTGAAACAAACCAAAAATTAACAAGTTGATACTATTTATTTCAAAAATACCACAAAATGACAAGTGTCAAAACTCATGAGAGATTGACATGTGGTAAAAAAACTTTCATTTATTAAGGAGGATATGAAAATGAATACTATAAACACAAATTATATAAGGGCGGAAAATATAACTTTAAAATATAATAAGGGACCGAAATTACAACTTATAAAATATCAATTATATAACTTTATATTAGTTAGGATGAAAACTATTATTTCAAAATTAGTTGAAGGGAAAATATGTAAATATAAAAAATTTGTTATAAGAAGAGTCAAAATTGCTATTTTAAGATATAACTTTATTTGAATTTTGTATTGAATGTTCAATAATTTTAATATGATCTGAATTTAATAGTTATGGCTTTGAAAAATATAAAACCAAATGAACAGTGGTTGTTTTCTCTGGCAAACTCATTTTGGTGTGTGTATATATATATATATATATATATATATATATATATATATATATATATATATATATATATATATATATATATATATATATATATATATATATATAAAGTTAGTTTTTAAACAATAATTTGTAATATATCTAGTAAATTTTTGCATATATAAGATATCAACTCAAAGCTAGGCATCATCTTTTGTGATTTTTATTTCCTTATTGAGAACGATTAATGATGAGGCCCAAAGGTGGCAACTGGCAAGGATCATTTTTTTAATCTTAAGCAATATAAACAGTCAACCTTTTTGTTCTTAATCAAACCAGTTTAATATAGCTTCCCAATTGTTAGTTATCCCATATTGGTGATGACAACTTGACATGTTGATAAGATACAAAAATGATGCAATAACACTTAAACTTTAATTTTATCATCTTTATCATGACGAAGATACACATCACTTTCCAAGTTTCTAGCTAGCAGTATTACTACCATTCGCTTCCTCACATCCACTAGATAAGACTTTTCAAGTATGAAAAAGTACTCAAATTCTCAACCTCTTTCATCGTAATGTGGTCCAAGGGCAATAAAATGGGCCTACAATGTGTACATTTATTTACCTTTTTCTTCTGTTTTTATATATACGACTTTTGTTGGTTTTTTTGTAGGTCTTAATCAAACACGAGTCCTATATCATGAGGGAAGACATCTATCTTGGACCAAGACATAAGAATTGACATCTTAGGAGTACGAAATCTAGCCAAATTGAGTTGAATTAATAAATGTATTTATTTTGTAAATAACCAGGTAATTAAGTCATATGAATTGGAATATATTTAGAGTATATACCTTTGGTGACATGTCACATGTGACATGTGCATTACTATTACTACAACCACAAAACTTAGGATGGGCCACGGGGACCTGTCCAATAAATAATAGTCGTGAACTGGCTTAGCTGGTGAATTCGGATATACTCTTCACGCTAAGGGTATAGAGGTGATTTGGCAACGCTACTTGAATTCAAACACAACCCCTTTATGGTGTGGTTGTGGTATGGGGTATCTGTATTTCCTAAGCTTGTGGTATAGAAGTGAAGATAATGTGGTGCTAAAGGGGAATCATTTTTTGAATCACGATGTTATATACTTATATCCATACATCATAAACCAGTTCAAGAATTTATCTTTTATTTTTAAAGTGTCATGTCAGTTTTTTCTAAGATTCTAAATAACGTTAGGCGTGACTTGGCTGTAATGTTAAGCCTCAAACTTTTCCGAACCTTGGCGAGTCACGTTGTTTGTAAGGCGTGACTTAAGTCGATAACTTTGTATATAATTCAAATTTTTATATGTAATCTCAAATATATATATATATATATATATATATATATATATATATATATATATATATATATATATATATATATATATATGAGTCAAGACGGCGTTTTGGTAAAGCTTGACAACACATGTAAGCCTTGGAGCCATGACGAGCATTTTAGAACATTGGTTTTTCCTTAACAACTTTTTACTCATGAAAAAACAAGAAATGATCACTTTTCGTTCCCTTTCATTTTTTTTTTAAATCAAAATAATTGATTTTTAAGATTTATAATTCAAAAAATAAATATAAATTTTGAAAAAATGATTAATAAACACAAAAGTTAATTAAAATAAAAATACTTCATTACTAAAAATAAAAATTATATAAAAACAAGCCAAGATTTAAAATATAAAAAATTATAAAAAAAAAAAAAAAAAAAAAAAAAAAAAAAAAAAAAAAAAACCAAGATTTAAGAAAACACAACCTAAATTTAGAAAAACAAAAAACAAAAGAATGTACGAGAAATATGTTTTCATGATTTAGTGTTTTAGTTCAATGGTTAATCCCAAAAGATGATGGATGTTTTTCATCAAGAACTTCATATCTTTTATTTTTTGCCTTTTCGCACGGTCCTTTTTTCCGATTCTTTTTCTTTATCGAATGTCAGATGTTCAGTGAAATTTAAATTGTATTGGTCAAATGTCTCTGTCATTTTCCGCATTTCCTATAAGTCCATGTTAAATCCCGATGCACCGGAAGAAGTCCCCTTCCCCTTCCCTTTGCTTTGTTCCTACCCATCGGCCGGAAAATTTTTTCTAGCTTGAGTTCGTCATTCTCATTTAAATCTAGCCTAACACGAGCATTGAAAGAAGTTGTGTATCTACTAGAGCCCTTTTTGTTCTTTTTGATTGTCCTCCTTCTAGTATATTGTCTCGTTCGTATTTTTTCCACATTGGACTAAGAATCAACAATTTCCAACACTCATATGACTTGAATGACTTTCCTGTTTCCTTAAGAAAAAAAATGCAAAGCCTTTTAAAGAATTCCTCATTTAGGTTTTTAGGTTGGTGTACATTCATTTTTTAAACGAATTTTTCTATTTCTCAAAATTTTAAATTTAGTTGGTGTTTGGCACGGTACTCTTCATCTACTTTACCTAATTCCGTGTGAAATCTCTCAAGAATGTGAATCCAAAAAATGATCTCTCGGTTGTGCATTTCGCTTCTTTGAATCCGCCAAAATGTCAACCCAAGCTTTTGTCAACACCAGCTCTTCTTGGGGAGTCCATGCTATTGACCTATACCTTGTAGTCTCTTGCACCAGTTGTTTCCTTTGCGGCATGGTGGGTGTGAAGGGTTGAGTTTCCTGTACAATTTTGCATTCGTCTCATCAATGCTTTGGTATTCTGGTTGAGCGTGAAAGAGTGGTGTTTGGCTTTAGGTTTGAGATTGATGGGGTAGGGTTTGACTTTCAGATTGATTTGGTGGAAGTTGATTGAGAAAAACAACAAAGTTGGTGAACATATTTAAAGTAACATTTGGAAATTACACGAGGTAGAATTATCTAAAACTTTTGTATTGAAATTGTTGATGAGATTGAATGACGACATCAAGTTGCGGATGATAAACCCTTTGAGATGGATTGATAGCGAAAATGTTTCGAATTGGGGAGCTTGAACTCGAAACATTGGTTTTTTTTTCTTCTATCAGAGTTTGAGGTTGGATTTTTTGGGATTGTTTTTTTTAAGAAAATAGAGATAAACTGATAGAAGAATGTGTGAATTTGAATGTGAAAGTACTGAAGTATTTATAGATGTGTGAAACGGTAAACACACACACACACATTTTTGGAGAACAAAGTAAATATTTGGAAAACAACCATTGCCAACAGATATTAGAAAAAAAAACGGATGAATCAAGTGGAGAGAGAAGAAGTGAGGAATCCTCCCTTCACTCGGTTCCTACATTGCAATTACCACACCCTTGGTATTGTGTTCCGAGGTGTGAGAAAGGTTCCCACTCATCCTTCCTACTACACTCCCTATGTTCTAATGTGGTATTCTCTAAGGGATAGTGACTTAAAAGGGTTTTTGTCCACTTTTACCCATTTAACTTGTTAAACTATACACATGCAGTCCCTTATGACCAACTACTTTAGGTTAGTCGGGAAAAATTACTTAATAGGGTAATATATTTCACACTTTGTACACATTTAGTTTTTAATAGTTTTTAGCAAATTTATTCCTTTATATATATATATATATATATATATATATATATATATATATATATATATATATATATATATTGTAACACCCGGTTTTGAA